GCTTTAAATGTAGTGAGGTTGTGCCTCAGCCAGTTCTTTTATTTTTTTTTTTATTCTTCGCAAACTACAACTTCATTTTTATGAGACTAGTACACTTAAAATCAATTACTATCTGAAATATTGTTCTGACTTGCAAAATGTGCACAGAACTTAGAAACATAGGAATTACTATGCTGCATCCTGACAGTTGCCAGTATTAGATGCTTCAGAGGAAGGTGTGAGAAACCTAATCATGTACAGTTACAGAATAGCTTGTTTATAGAGGAAACTTCTTCCTGGCTCCTGTCACTTAGTGATTGGCTTATACCTGAAGCACAAGGATATATTCTCCTCCCCCCCCCTTTTTTTTTTATCCTATCTAATATGACTGTGGGATTTGGAGCCATTAAATTTTTCTGGATTAGCCACAATAAATACCTGCTTGAATCACATCCAATATATTAAGCACTTACAAGGGTTCCCTAAAATAAAGCTTTTGAGCTCTAACTCTTACAGATTATTAGGTGAAGCTTTAAATCAAATGTACATTTATATTGATCTCAAGTTGCTACATTTTGCATACAGTATTTTTCCTTTACTTAAGATAAAGATCTCTCTCGTTGTTTTAAGAGATTTCCTCTTGGTTAAAGGTTCTAAATACACTAAGAAATCCATAGTTCTGACATTTTTAATTTTGACGCTTTTGGCCAGAAAGGTCATACTAAGGGTATGTCTGCAGTGTTATACTTGTGTTGGTCCAAAGATGTTAGAGAGACAAGGCAGGTGAGGTGATATCTTTTATTGGACCAACTTCTATAGGTTAAAGACAAAAGTTTTCAAGCTACACAGAGCTTTTCCAGACCTGCAGAAGAGCTCTGTGTAGCTCGAAAGCTTGTCTCTCTCACCAACAGAAGTGGGTCCAATAAAAGATATAACCTCCTCACCCATCTTCTCTATACTAAGGGCTGGTCCACACTAACCCCCCACTTCGAACTAAGATACGCAACTTCAGCTACGTTATTCACGTTATCCTCTCGCGGAGCAGGAGTACAGGCGTCGACGGCGAGCACTTCTGGGATCGATTTATCGCGTCTAGACAAGACGCGATAAATCGATCCCAGAAGATCGATTGCTTACCGCCGGACCTGGAGGTAAGCATAGACGTACCCTTAGGAAATGAAAGACATTTCTCCAAGTCAGAGATCTGAGAACATAATCAGCTTCTTTACTGCTGACATATGTTTTACTGAACTATGCCAGGCCTTGATCCAAGGCCTACTGAAATCATGGGACATATTTCCATCAACTTCAGTGGGCTTTACATCAGGTCCTAGAAGCTTATTCTATAATATGGAGAGAAAATAATTGTAGATTACTCACATTAGACCTACATGTACATCATTAAATTATAATAGAATTTTCCTTGTCTTAATTTGCATGTTTTTAAACAGAAACCTTTTGACCTGTGTAGGCTGCTGGTCTGTCTCCCCAGTGCAGGAAGAATTAAACAGCAGACCCAGAGTCTGTTCAGGATCTCTCCTTAAGGCACCATTTCTAGATTGTTCTAATAATCTTTAGCAAACCCAGAAATATAACGGTTCAACATAAATGCAATAGCTATCTTTCCTGTACACCAGGTGCTTCCTTGCCACAGCCTCCCTGCTCCTTGCAGCTCTTCCTCAGTTCTCCTATAGACTGACTAGGAATGCCCCCTACTCCATAAGCCAACCTGCTTCTTATAGCTTCCAACCATCTTTCCAGCCAGCACTTTACCCAAAAGCACTCTAACTTTTTTCTCAGGGTCACGCTATACCTCCTCCTCTGACTGGCCCTGGCTCTCTACTGCTTTCACTGAGTCTGGGGTGATTCTCCCTCACACACACACATGCACAGCGCTTCAATAATTTACCACTGCTGTGTTTGTTACCAGACTCTTGGTAAACCCTTTGGTCTGCCTGGCTCAATTTCTACTCTAGCCTTACATGTAGCCTGAGTTTGGGGCAGAGGCGCCTATTGTTCCAGCTATCTATTCCATAAAGGGGCTCAATTGCTTTATACGTTTATCCTGGCTGATATTACACGCACCAGCTTCAACTAGGTTTTGTCCAGCATAACATTATATTACAGCAGGTGTCACCAGATGGTGGTGTTACACCATCTTACAAGTTGTTCTTCCTAGTATGTGAGCAAATGTTCAGTCTTAGTAAAAAATGCTGTGTGGTACGATTCCCTTTGTGCAAGGACTGATGTATATGTGTGAATAAAACAAGTTACATGGCTTATACCTAACTCAGTGTCACTGATTTCCCCTCCACTGGGAAGCCAACCTGCAAGGCCCTGTATAGCTGTTACTGGTAACTTACTGCTGGCAGATAGGTGACAGAGTCAGAATGGGACATAGGGGTCAGAAATTGGAGCAAAAATATATGTATTTTTAAAGTGCCAGCCTTACACAGAGTAAGCTGCTATAGAAAGATAAAGAACTGGACTCTGCCAAGATTTGAACCTAGAGCTCCAAGGAGTCTAGATGTTTCAGAGTTGAAGTTTCAACTGCTAATCTGCTCACAACAATAAAGTAAAATTGTGAACGATACCCTCTAACTGAACTCAGATCTGTTTTATTTTTCTTAACTTCTACAGAATAATACATTTTAAAATTGTCACCATTATGAAAATAATGGGCTTTGTTTCTCTGGTGGGGACAGTGAGCTGCACCACTAGGGTTACCATATTTCAACAATCAAAAAAGAGGATGGGGGGAGCCCCGCCCTAGCCCCACCCCCATCCACTCCCTCCCTCTTCCTGCCCCCGGACTGCCCCCCTCAGAACCTCCAAGCCCCCCCCCCCGCTCCTTGTCCCCTGACTGCCCCCTCCTGGGACCCCTGCCCCTAACTGCCCCCCAGGACCCCACCCCCTATCTAAGCCTCCCTGCTCCTTGTCCCCTGACTGCCCCCTCCTGAGACCCCCGACCCTAACTGCCCCCACCATGTTCTCTGTCCAGACAGTGGAGGGGCAGAGGGTTGGGCCCACACTGCACAAGATGTGGCAGGATCCAGTTTTAAATTTACCCCCGCCCTTGCTTCACTGAAGGGGGGAGGGGAGAGTTGCTCTTGACTTGTGTGGGGTACCAGGGAGTGGAAGCCCCGACCCCACCTGAAGTCACTGGTGCAACCCCTCCCGCTCCAGCTGGGGAGCTGCACCTGGCCCTAGGGGCTGCAGGGTCCGCCACTCCCGGAATCTCCCTCCCTCCTGTCGTGGCTGCGGGAGGCTCCCTTGTCCCGCTCGCTGCCTTGGCGGGTGCAATGCGGCAGCTGGAAGGGAGAGGAGGAAACCCCCCGTTCCCTCCCCTCGCCAGGCAGCCTCCTTTGTGAGAGCTCGGCCCTGACGCGCTGCCCTGCCCGAGCTGCAGCCGCGCCAGAGAGTATCCGAGGGCTACAGGCAGCGCTGGAGCTGCCGGAGGATGAGTTGGAGCTGGCCCCACACCAGCAGGCTGAGCGGGGAGTTGTCCCGGGAGAAGTTTCCTTGCAGGCTCCGCTCCGGTCGGCAGAAAGCTGGGAGCCCGAGGGCACCCGTGCTGGCGGCGCCGCAGGGAGGGAGATTATGGGCTTGGGCACCGCACGGAGGGAGGTTACGGACTTGGGTGCCCAGGGAAACTTCTCCCGGGACAACTCCCCGCTCAGCCCGCTGGTGCGGGGCCGGCTCCGACTCATCCTCCAGCAGCCCCGGCAGCTCCAGCGCTGCCTGCAGCCCTCAGACGCTCCTTGGCGCGGCTGCAGCTCGGGCAGGGCAGCGCGTCAGGGCCTTGGCACTTGCCACCCGGGGCTGGGACCGGGGGGCCCTGGATGGGTCCGGGTTCAAGGAGCGCCCAGCTGTGAACGTGGCGCCGAGCTCAACAGAACCCCTAGCGGCTCCTCGGCGAAGAACCTCTCCGAGCCTTGCAGTCCTAGGTCGGGCGCTCAGAGGCTTGCTCCGTCAGGGTTACCATATGCCGGCCGGCCACGAGGGATTTTTAAATATCGAAAAACCCGGACTTTTTTAGATATTTAAAAATTCCTCCCGGACAGCCATTTAACAACCAAAAAGCCGGACATGTCCGGGGAAATCTGGACATATGGTAACCCTATGCACCACCCCCAACAAAATGCACTGGGAAACACTGAAAGATCACCAGCACATAGCAAGTGCTTTATGCTGCTGAAAGGGATACAACCTGCTGCTTCCTCTGCAGCTGGTCAACTCTGCTGAGTGGTGGGACCTTGTTAAATAAGACTTCAGTGGGTCTATTCGCAGGCATAAAGTGCAAGCATAGTCTTCGTAAGATGGTGGCCTACATTTGGAAACGCCAATGGACACTTGTTGTCTATGTGTGATCATCCTAAATTGTTTTCTACTACTGCGATCCCCAGTGGTACTCATAACGTTGGACGTGCTCGGTGAAGCACCTGCCAGCATTTTAAGCTGTAGGTAATCACCCCCGCTCCCCAATCTATGCTTTCCATTGGCCACATGAAGCGGTCATGGAGGCTTTGCAGGGGCGGGGAAGGTTTTCCGTGGATTGAAGATTTCTCTGATCGCACACCCCCGGGGCAGGTGCCCACCGGGCAGGGTTTCATGTGCTGGGCCCCCGCGCAGCAGCCCGGCGGCGGAGCAGTGCGTTGCACCGGGCTGAGGACGCAGGGGAGCAGTCGCATGCGGACCGCTGGGCCCAGTCCGGGGAGCCCCGCCGCCGGCCCCAGAGCGGTTCCGCCGCCGCCTCCAGCACCTCCCTCCCCCCAGCACCCCGCCGTGTGCTTAGTGCGTTGAGGCGCCCGCCCGCCCTATTTCTCCCTCCTCCTCTCGGCTGGGTGCGCGGCGGGCCGGGGCCGCTGGGGGCGCCCGCCCGCCGGGCGAGTGTCGCACGGCGGCCGCGCGGCTAGCGGCTCGGCAGCAGCGCAGGGCTTTGCAGCCCTGGCTGGGGCGCAGCGCGTCGCTGCCCCTCCCCTCGGACAGCGGAGGCGGGTTGGTTTGAAAGGGAGGCGGCGGCGGCTGCCATGTAAGCGGCTCGGGCGGGCGGCAGTAGGAGGCGCCGTTGGGAGCCGGGTGGGCAGCACCGTGGGCAGGGGGCGGGCGTGCCCGTCCCAGCAGCCATGAGCGCGGTAGGCGGGCGGCGGCCGGCCGGGGCGAGGCGCTGAGGGCCCGGCCGGAGGCTCCCCGGCCCCCGCCCATGGCCTTCATGATGATGAAGAAGAAGAAGTTCAAGTTCCGCGTGGAGCTGGAGCTGGACGAGCTCTCGTCCGTGCCCTTCGTCAACGGCATCCTCTTCTGCAAGGTGCGGCTGCTGGACGGCGGCAGCTTCAGCGGGGAGTCCTCCCGGTAGGTGCCTGGCCCCCTGCGCGCCCCGGCCCCTGGCACCAGTCAGGCGAGCGGCGCATGCAGACCTCCCCCGTCGGCATGAAAGCCCATCCCCGCCACAGAGACCCGTGCAGCCGCCTTCCTCCGGAGCGCCTTGCAAACCCGCCGCTGTGCAGCCCTTCTGCCTCCAAATGCCGCCCCCCCCCCCCGCCCCAGCAGCCTTGCAGCCCTCTGTCTCTGTAGCCTTGCGATAAAAGCAATAGCCTCTGCTCAGAATTAAAAGCTTATAACCCCCTTCACCCACCAGCCCGCGCTGTAAGTACATCACTTATGAGTTGTCACTCTGCTGCTTTATCTCTAGTGTATGTACCATGGTAACTACATTTGCAAAGAAGGTAACAATTACATCCACCTCCTAGTCGCTTTCTGTTGGTTTCTAGCAAGCTTCTGAACTTAGAAACACGTAAGAGCAAGCAGTTGAGCCCTTTATTGAATATCCTTGATGATTACTAGAGTCCGGCGCGGATACAAAGTGTGTATCAGCATCCGATCAGTGAACCGCAAACGTGGTCCGCGGATACCCGCAGATTTTCAGGGCTCTTATTTTGGCTGGGTTATGGGGGTATACAGTGCAATGTACTAAACTTAAGCATGCAGTATACTACTTTCCTTGCACAAAGGTGACAGCAGCACTTTACCTTTGGAGCTTCGTCATTGTGGACTTGCTCTTAAATTATTTACTGCTTATGATTAGATTACGTATTTTGAAATGGCCATTAATGAACCACTGCAGAAAGATTAGGTGACTCAGAAGTGAGGTGTCCATCCCTGAAGCTTTTAAAAAAAAAAAAAAAAGTCTTGCAAGTTTTGTTGGCATTTAGCAATGGGCTTTAGAGCATCTCTTATCTTCTTATATAGACATGGCATTTAGTGTGATGCAACAGCTTGGAAGAAGCTAGAAAAGGCTTGGATAGGCTTCAACTAGATAAAGTGATTTGCAATACATGCTTCCCCAAATTTCTGTTTATTTCCTCGGTTAGAAAGTAATAGTGTACACACATACGGACACACTGTCTCTCTAAGTAAGAGTCATGCTGTTCTAAAGCATGGACTCTTCAGTAAGGGCAAAGTTATATTGATTTTAAAAGCTCACGGGAATGTAGACTTATTTACTGTAGTCACATTAGTGTTTTTTTTTCCAGTCTCTTCCATATCTATCAACAAGAATGTTAATGGAATAAGAATATGGAAGTCTGTCTGCTGAAATATTGTAGACAGAAAGCCAAGAAAATTAGCGCCTAATGTAACTTGACTATGTACTGTTTTTTCCTGTGCAGACTTTTTTAAAGAAAATTCTGACTAGAGTTAATTTATATAACATAATATGACTAGAAAGGAAGGACAGTTTACCCATTCTATGTAAAAGAGTGGAAATAAGAATATTCAGGCTTCTGCAACCCAGTTAGTGTAACACATGGTTGCAGTCAGCAGTGTCCATTAATAATCTGATTTAAGGCAGCCTATACTGTACTCTTCTTCTGTTTGATACTTTACTACCACTTTTCACTTTTTTATGTATTTGCGAATCACAGTAAAAGTATTTAACATAAAAGTGTCCATAGAAAAATGGCATCTTATTTCTTGTATGTGTCTGAGCCATGTACTTAACAGGAATAATTCCATTTGTCAAACTGCAGAGCAAATGCAGCTGTGGAAAGACAGCTGGATTCCTTTTTGCCTCATACATCAGGAACAGAACTGTCAGCTCAGTTCTGACTGTAGAATATTTATTTGCTGCTGATAGTACGTGAGACAGAACATAACTTGATTTTTATCTTTCCAAATACCAGGTGGAAGTTGCAGCATTGGCAGTTATAATTTTTTTTTTCTATTTTGGCTTGTCAGCTTCTTCAGTAAATCCTTGAGAGAATAAATATCCAGCCCCAATATATTATTTGTCCATGACATGGATTACCTCTTTGCTTTAATATCATTACAAAAATGATTACTTGCTGAAACTTTTCAAGGCTGGACAGCTAGAAATCAGTGTAAAAAATTATATTGCCATTCAGTGCTTATTATTAAATTACCATATATGTTAGTCACAGACTTTATTGAATTATCTGTTTTGATTCTGTGGATGGAAATGTTTTATGAGGATAAAGTTATGCTGCCTGGAGTGGCTCATAAGTGAGAATACCAACCTCCAGGCAGACTCTTAAGAAGCAGGGCACAAACCCCAACCTATTTGTGAGCTCTCTGCTTAGATTTCACTAGCCCAGTAACAAGTGTAAACACCTCAGGCACTATACAGCCTTAACAGGGAGTTACAGACAGTCCTCTTGGGCATTCCAATCTGTCTTGCCACCCAGGCAAGCTTGACTCTGTGACAGACAGTCACTTTACACCAGAAATCACAATGTTCAGGTTACTTCCAGTCCCAAAGGACAGGTCACTTACCCCAGATCAGTTGTACTCAGATCTCAAATCAAAGAGAGTGCCTGTAGCCAATCCTGTAATAAATTAACTAAAGATTTATTAACTAAGAAAAGAAATAGGATAATTATTTACAAGGTTAAAACAGGAAATGTACACACACAATTGAAATACAGTCTTAGATTTAAAAGGGTTAAATAAATTTATATAATGAGCAGCTCTATGTATCCGTTAGGGCTGACCCATGCCAAGCAGCATGGGGATCTCTTGCTTATGTTTAGGAATCTTAGTCAGTCAGAGTCCAGATAGCATAAAGAGACCCCAATTCCTTCTGTTAAGGGATTTTAATCCCCCCTTCCATAGAATTCAAGCTGATTGGATGAGCGGTTCTGCATATAACCTCTTCAGGGGTGGAGCAATTGACAAAGTCTTTGTTTTACAGTAGCCCATTTGGACTCAGTAATCCTTCCTGAGGATCAGGAGAGGACGCCTTCTGTAGGAATCCAGCATTTTGTATTAAGTAAAGTGGGTTTTTTTAATTCCCCACCCCACCCGGTTGAGTTCCAGAGTTTCAGAACAAAAAATTTACAGTTATAGAGCACACACATAAGTATTACCTTATAGCATGGATACAGATATTATAAGTAGGATTAATACATGCAGCCTACTAGCATTTCATAAAGTCTAAACACATTTTTATTATACTAATATCTGTTTTTACTATACTAACCCCCAAGTAAACCAGACTGGTTTCCACCCATGCGTTAAACAGTCTTCTGTTAGGCCTGGGGCCTTGGCATGAGCTGGCACCGGGTCTGCCAGCATCACAGACAATTTTACCAAAATGGAGTTTTGGACCGTGCACTTCTGAATCAACTGTAACCTTACACAGAAGTGTAGTCCCAAGTAACTGGGATGTTTGTTGGGGTTTTCTTTGGTGGGAGTAGGGACTTCAGACCAGCAACACTTTACTCTCATCTCCTTTCTGTTTAACACACTGCTGAATTATTTTGCTTTAGCAGTAACAGATGATAATTTTCATGTGCTGATTACTTTAGGTGCTAACATCCCATTACTGTTATAGGCAGATGCTACTGTCTTAGGCCTGGTCTACACTTAAAATTTAGGTCAATGTAGCTATGGCACTCAGAGGTGTGCATGATCCACATCCCTGAGTGCCATAGCTATGCCGACCTAACCCTGTCACTCGGGGCAAGGGTGTTCCTACAATGACAGAAAAACCCCTTCCATCATGATAGGCGGCATCTACACCATGGAGTTTTGCCAGCATAGTTACAGCACCATAGCTGTGCTGCTATAGTCTCTGTAGTGCAGACAGAGCCTTAGTCACTTTCTCTAGTTGATGTATATCATCTGGGAAATCTCTTTGTTAAAAGACAATAGACTACAACCAAGCAGATGCATATATTGTAAGCCTTGTCCTTCCTTTACCTTACACCCTTAGCACTATGTGATGTCAAAGTGAGACCCCAATCTTGAAAACACATATTCTTAACTTTTCATATGTGAGTTAAGCATGTGTCTAAGTGTTTGCAGAGTGAGGGGCCTTAGGTCTTGATCCTGCAATGTGATGTACTTGGGCAGCTCTTAAGGAATTTAGTGGGGCTCCCCGAGGGGAGCAGGGATCCACCAGTATGCACTGAATTGCAAGATTGGGACCCGAGAGGATGAGCCTCCTTAGTTATTTTTTTTCTTCTTCTTTGGAGTGTGGTTTTAAAATGGAATCGAGCAGTAAGTTATGTGCTCATATTACAGGAAACCAGAGTGCGGGTCTCTAAAATTTTGGCCGGCAGAGTTGGATGCGTCACAAAGATGTTGCTGCACTTGTAGAGGAAGGTATAGAATTCCTTTGCAGTAGTTCTTTTTATGCCAATTTAGGGAGTGTCCGTGCTATTGGCTCCAGAATGAATTGCTTTATTCCTACATAGGTGAACTCAAATTGTTTCAATAAAAATATAAGAACTTCCGTACTGGGTCAGACCAATGGCCCACCTAGCTCAGTATCCTGTCTCCGACAGTGACAAGTACCAATAACATGAAGGGGTTCGAGTATTCAGCAGAATTTTCAAACTAGCTTAGTCTTTATTTTTTAAATGAGCATTGTCTTGCTATTGTTTAATGTGATAAAATGCAAACTGCACTAGTATTTGTTAAGAGTTGGTAATCATGTGCTCAAAATAGTTAACTTTATAGCATTTTAAGATGTTCAGGGAAGCCTGTTAAATGTTTCAGAGAATGATTTAAAATATTTTGAGAAAATTTTGTATATGTGTCATAAATTAACCGTATTGTTGGCTATGCAGCCTTTTTTTAAGTGTTCACCCAATATCTGGTAACATAATTGCTTGGGGAGAAACTTAATGGGGCTAGGTGCTCCAGTCCCACTGACTGGGAGTTGGGTTCTTAACTGCCATCTGTGTCTTTGGAAATCTTCCCTTTTTAAGAACAGTCTTATTCAGAACTGTAAAACAGCTTTGTAAATGCCTTTCACTTCCTTCCCAACACTTATTCTTCAAACATGAGATCACAAAAGAGCCAAATATACATCAACATCTTAAGATAGC